GCATTTAAGGTAGCCTCTCCTCTGTAGCTGAGATAGTTAGCTGGTGTCATCTTTGTAGATCTCCAGACACTTCCCTAGTGCCTGATTTCCCTGTAAACCAAAAATATCTTCCTCTATTATGATATCTCCATTCTTGTTATCGTGTATTCTTCCTCTGACTCAGCCTTTCTGCTCCCTTATGTCCTCTGCATCCCTCTTCTTCTCCCGTTCTCATTCTCCTAGCTCCCTCCCCGTGGGTATAGCATCTTCTACTTCTGGTGGACAATTGAGAGGAATGGAAAGAGTTCGTATTGTTCTGTGTGCCTGTGGGGACTTACTGATCAACAACCCATAAGAAGATATCCTATTACTGGCACTGGGATTTCATCTGATTAGCAGTGTCCCCTATGAATAGATTTTTTTTAGACAATCAGAATATTACCTTTCTAACTCTTTAAAAATTATATTGTAACTTGCCATCTTAGTTACTATTGTATTTCTGTGAAGAGACACAAGGACCAAAGCAACTCTTATAAAAGAAAACACTTAATTGGGGGCTCTGCTTACAGTTTCAGAGGGTTAGCTCATGGCCATCATAATAGGAAATCTGGCAGCTGGCAGGAAGGCATGGTGCTTAAGAAGTACCTAGGAGCTCACATTGTGAGCCACAGGAAGTAGGCAGAGAGAGTGACACTGGGCCTGGCCTGACCTTTTAAAACCTCAAAGTCTACCCTAACTGACACACCTCCTCCAACAAGGCCACAAGTTATAACCCTTCCCAAACAGTTCTTCTAACTGGGAAACATAAATTAAATGCATAATCCTATGGGGACCATTCTTATTCAAACCATCAGGTTTAGTTTCAAGATAGTAGGTTTCCATATACATGTATTATTCCTCTGTCAGTTTGGTTAATCATTTCACCTCTGTCCCTGCATCTTACTTTATTCCCTACTGCTTAAACGATTCCACCTCCAGTATCTCCCATCCTTACATTTATTTTATCCATTCTTTACTTTCCCTTCATTGAGAGGTCCCTCTCACAATAGCCTCTATTTAGTTCCCCATCATGTTCATGACTGACATTCTTTGTCTCCTTCCTTATCATCAGAATATCACACAGTGCCCTCTGCAAAAGTACTTGACTTCCTGTGAGTGACATAATAATAGAAGATGAATAAATGAATAAACAACACAAAATGGACTTCACACATATTCAAATATCTGAATAAATTATCCAAATTTTCCAGAAAAATTTGAGAATTTTTGACTCAATGTATCCATATGTTTTCAAGTAGTATTTTGTCCTTTCATATATATTTTATAAGCTTTTAAAAATATGTTCAGCCGGGTCTTGGTGGTGCAAGCCTTTAATCCCAGCACTCAGGAGGCAGAGGCAGGCAGATCTCTATGAGCTCGAGGCCAGCTTGGTCGCCAGAGCAAGTGCCAGGATAGGCTCCAAAGCTACACAGAGAAACCCTGTCTCGAAAATCCAAAAACAAACAAACAAACAAACAAAAAAAAACATGTTTAAGACAACCGTTTTGGCTCTTGAGTCACCCCCGCGCAGCCTAGCCTCCGCATGCCAGTCGGTGGCGCTCTGAGCCCACCTGGCCCTGTACTACCACTCGGCTTTCCTGTCAAGATGGCTGAGGAAGTGCACCATGGCGAGGGAGACCTTTGCCTTTCAGGCAGAAATCGCCCAGCTCATGTCCTTTCTACTCAAACAAGGAAATTTTCCTTCAAGAATTGATCTCCAATGCTTCTGATGCCTTGGACAAGATTCGCTATGAGAGCCTGACAGACCCTTCCAAATTGGACAGTGGCAAAGAGCTGAAGATTGACATCAGCCCCAACCCTCAGGAGTGCACGCTGACTTTGGTGGACACAGGCATTGGCAAGACCAAAGCTGATCTCATAAATAACTTGGGAACCATTGCTAAGTCTGGCACAAAGGCTTTCATGGAGGCTCTCCAGGCTGGTGCAGACATCTCCATGATTGGGCAGTTCGGTGTTGGATTCTACTCTGCCTATCTCGTGGCAGAGAAAGTGGTTGTGATCACAAAGCACAACGATGATGAGTAGTATGCTTGGGAGTCCTCTGCTGGTGGATCCTTCACAGTGGGGGCAGACCATGGTGAGCCCTTTGGCCGGGATACCAAAGTCATCCTTCATCTCAAAGAAGACCAGAGAGAGTACTTAGAGGAGAGGAGGGTCAAGGAAGTGGTGAAGAAACACTCGCAGTTCATAGGCTCTCCCATCACCCTCTTTGTGAGTATGGACTTGGCAGTATTTGAGCAGTCTTTGCTGGTGATAAGTTCTCCACAACTCATTATCCAATTTGGTAATTTAGTTGGAGAAGGAACGAGAGAAGGAGATCAGTGATGATGAGGCAGAAGAAGAGAAGGGTGAGAAAGAGGAAGAAGATAAGGATGATGAGGAAAAGCCAAAGATTGAAGATGTGGGATCAGATGAGGAGGATGACAGTGGCAAAGATAAGAAAAAGAAAACGAAGAAGATTAAGGAGAAATACATTGATCAGGAAGAGTTGAATAAGACTAAGCCCATTTGGACCAGAAACCCTGATGACATCACTCAAGAAGAATATGGTGATTTCTATAAGAGCCTCACCAATGATTGGGAGGACCACTTGGCAGTCAAGCACTTCTCTGTAGAGGGTCAGTTGGAATTCAGAGCATTGCTCTTCATTCCTCGGCGAGCTCCCTTTGACCTTTTGGAGAAAAGAAGAAGAACAACATCAAACTGTATGTCCGTCGTGTGTTCATCATGAACAGCTGTGGTGAGCTGATCCCCTAGTACCTCAACTTTATCCGTGGTGTGGTTGACTCTGAGGACCTGCCCGTGAACATCTCTTGAGAAATGCTCCAACAGAGCAAGA